TTAATCGACTTGTATAGGCGCCGATAAAATTTTACACAGCTAATTTTATTCTTCTTATTTTTAATACAAAAAGTACTATTTATTTGATTATTCACACATTAACTTCAAACTCAACTACAGATACACGTTTAGAACAAATTAGCCATACGCGCATTTTGACGTTTCATTAAACGCATCCATTTGACTTTTAGCTTGAAAATGGTTGCGCCCATAGTGAGAAAAAGAAGAAGCAGCACTAATAACAAAAAATGTATTGGAGTTCATACCGACGATTTCTACTTACGAACGAACGACCGACTGTTCGTGCCCAGCTCTGGTACTCTGTTCGGACCAAAAATTACACCGATCAACAGATATTGCTCAAAAACTAATCAGCTCGTCTCCTAGCAGTCACTAATCATCCTGCAAAGTCAGAATTTGAATCGAGTTTTTGGAAGAAGAGTTCCATTTTACACCTATTATTCAATATCGCTGAAAATTTGACCAGATGTACTTCACGTGGTCCCGAATCATGTAGTAGAGTCAGATTTTGAATACCGTCTCTTGGAAAAGTGTTATCGTGGAAAAATTGGTATTTTCAATGCCATTTAATGAATGGATACCCCTATGGCTCCACACTTTACAACGGTAAACCAATGTCGCTCAAAATGTGACCAGATGTACTCCTCGCAGTCCCCAACCATCCAGTAAAATAAGATTTTGAAAAATTTTTGTGTGATGAACTATCATGCAAAATTAAAATAATTTGCGGACAGGATACAGGACACACCGGACATCACACACAGCGAGTAACATTAATGCCCCAAAATCGCCTCCAATCATGTTTTCTACATGAAATATGCATAGAAAACATGTTTTGGGGTGACTTTAATTTTTTGGCCTAATACATTACCTTTCCTTGGAAAAGTAATAGGTACTTCGGCTCCAATTTGAGTAGCAATTTCAAATGTTCAAAACAATAAAAAACTCAATTTATGCACAAATATTTTATTATTTGCGTGATAAAATATAAGTACAAATCACCTCTTTCGAAGTTCCCACTGTGACGCAATACTGTAAATCTAAAAATGTTCTGATATAAATTTTTACTGACGCGTTCGCTCAAATATGTACAAAAAAATTTATTGCGTCGCCTCTAAAATGCAAACACAAAATGATTGACATGTCTAAAAGTTAGAACAGCGAGTCTTTATTTTTGAATAACTCATGTTTCACTTTGAACGAAAAATCTGCACTGTAAAACTCAAGGGATTACCTAGTGTGTAAGGTCAAAATTTACGACATCTCTTTTTTCTGGACGTTTTCGAGCCCAGAGAACCCGAATCAAGCCGTTTTGAGCATGGTTGTTGTGTGTTTTAAATTTATTTGAACGACGCGATGTTACTATACTTGTTCATTACAACGTACATGTAACAGAAGAAACACACAGTCCATGTCCACGCTAGTGGACATAAACGATTTGAACCGTCAATGTGAACTAGATCAAGTATAGAACTTTACATAGGATCATATACGATGAATATGGATTACACAGTCTGTTTCAAAATACCGTCACCAATGTCGACACCATTTGACATCAAAATTTTGACAGTAAAAATATGTGTTATTGTTGTTGTCGTTTCATTGCTGTGGAAATCATTAGATTTTGAGCGTATTTGGTTGATGGACAAAAATGTCATGCCTGGAGTGATACTCATGAAAAAGAGTCAAATTTTCGTCCAAAAGTCAAAATTTATGTTTACTTTAAACACTCAAAAATATGTATTCGCTGCGTAAGTGCCTAAGGTATAGCTTCGAAAAATGTGAGAACATTGGTGCAATCAGTTTTAATTAGATTTGCTAACCATGCATACAAATTCACTATACCAACGGCCCAGAAATTGGGCGATGTCAATGAAATCGGACTAAACTCCATCCCTGGCAAAGTTTTGACGAAATTTGCTTCAAAGAAGTTCCCTTGAGTCCGCTCCGAATTTTTATAAAAATTTCAAAAAATCGAAAAATTCACCATATTTCTAGTACCAATGTGCTCAAACATAAGAAACAACATGTGGAAAGTTATACCTCGTTGGAAAGCTCTCCCAACTTCCTATTCAATGCCACCACAATTGCCATTGGGCAAAACTCGAAAATAAGACATACAAAGGATGGAAGCAAACGAATTTCTTTGTTCCAACGTGAGCACCACTAACAATTTTTCTCCGAACCATCCTTTTACCAATAGATGATAAAAGTTGTTTTGAATTTGGTTAGGGAACTTAGGGAAGTAGCGCTGTATTGAGGTTTGAACAACTACCGGACGTACATTTTCCATACAAAATGTCATCAGAATTTTTAAATGAAGTGCAAAATTTGTACTAAACAACTACTGAACTGAAACTTAAATTCATCCGATTCGGAATAAATATTGATTATTTTTTTTCATTTTTTATATTTTAAAAGTTATATTTTACAAAAAACATATTTAATTCAATATCTATTATGTTAAAACAATTTTTGTTCATTGAATTTGCATGGAAAATGTACGTCGGGCCTCAGAGGCCCCACTTGTTAGATAACGTTAGTGTTTTGACTTGCCTGGTTAAGGGTTAAAGTTGTCTGCTTGAGCTTACGTTAAAGTATTTGCTTTGAAAACACTTTTCAATTATAGATTGTGTGTAGTTGGTATGAGTTTCAACGTTTCATAACAGTTTTGAACATAATATAATATGAACCGGTTGTATTCAAGATCTGTTAAACATGTGAAAATAATTCTATTTAAATAAGATTAATCGAATAAGATGACTCAATAAAACTTTATGTTTACCTTCTTAAATGTTTCTAACGAGCAGTTAATAAATCCATATCCAGAAAAAAACTTTGGACGCTCTGAGTTCTGTATGATTAATAGGAGGTATCTTTGTATGTGACATGGAAATTCATACCAAATGAAAGTATGATAAGCACTATCGCCAATCGACTGTAACCGCAATGAAATGTGCGCCGAATAGTAGCAGTAAGGCAATGTTGTTGCAATGCTCACAGTCGATGCAAATATCAAAATGAAAAAATCCGGATTGATATGTTTAGAAGCCTGTTAAAACGTAGCGTATATGCGATAATATTCTATTTCTAATTTAGTTCAAAATGATCAAATTCTTTACCAAATCCAGTTGATATATCGATGTTGAACAAAATACGGCGCCACATAAAAGTTGGAAAAATATAATTCCCGTCACAATACTACTCAGTTGATGAAAAAGTCTGCAAAAAAAATCTACATTTTATGGTGTGTGCCAAATATTCAACGAAAATACAAACTCAATAATTTGAATGTTGAATTTAACTCCATCAAATAGGCGCTCTTTTACAGTGTTTATTGATTGTTTTGGTTTTTGTTCGATTTGATTTAATTGGCGCATTAATTTGTCGAAATTTTCAGTAAAAGCATCCAGATAAAATGATGAACCGAGGAAAAAAGCCACTTGACTTGTTATCAAAATCGCATAAGTGTGTAATGCTATGATCACCATAATTAAGTAACCAAAATATCCATGCAAAGTGTGAACATCAAATGGATAGCTCAATTTATACATTGAGTACCATGTGGCTGGATCACTTCGGCCGGGAATCATTTCGAATATCACCGTATATGTTGTGGCAAAAATCAACACAAAATCGTAGTTCACAATGAAAACAATAAGAGGCCACTTTGCAACAAAAGTGGATTTCACTTCCGCCTTTTCGTATAAAACTCTTGATTCGTGATTTTGACAAATACCTACAAAGAGTGCTTCATTAATCATTTATTCTATTTCAAACTAAAGAAATAATACGTGCGTAATTTAACCAAATTTTCAATTTGATTCAGGAATTTCGATACTTTGTATTTATTATTGTAAAATGTCCAATAGCCTCCGCCCGATGCCGTGTTGGCAGACACTTGCATTACAGCGAATAGAACACTTTCAGTATCCGAAAAATGCGAAACGATATATTCTATGCTGACACCAATTGTACATAGTGAAATCGATAGCATCATCCAGTTGATTATTTTGCTGATAGTTCGCTCTCGTTGTGTGGCATTTTCATCGTTTAAACACATTCCAAACACTTTCAAAAGTTTTTTATTTAATTTTATAACTTCCATTTTGCTACACAGATTTTCATTGGCAACGATTAAGAAAAATAAATCCTCCAAATTCACAACATTATCATGAACTATTCAACTGGACACTCTGTGAGAATTGTTATGTTGGTTGCGCTTTTATTTGATCACTAATGTAACGAAATTTACAAAAAATCGGAAGACACGACAACGTTTAACAACGTTGATTATATTGTTTAGTTAGGGTAAGACAGAAAATTTACCTTATAATTATAGAGCTTTGAAGAATTATTAATTATTACTCGTAAAATGTAAAATATTTTATTCCTTTTAAATCAAAAGGCGGCGACATTTAAATGAAGAAATCATTCATTGTGCTTTGGAGGTATTAATTCTAAACTAAATGGTTACTCCTCTTCGAAAAAATCTATTTTCTATAACACTATCTATTGGTTCATTCAGTCATCAAACAGAAAGAAAAAAATCTCATCATGTAATATATTTACATTGTTTGAAATTGTCGAAATATTTTATATGTAATTCAAATTTACATGCTTGATTTCAATTTCATCATACATCTTTATCTTTTTTGTCTAATTCTGTGTGTTGGGTAAATGAAGCATGAACAGTGCCATTATTCTCTGTCGCTTTTTTCCCCGCAAATTACTGTTACTAATGAATATTAGCATTGTTATGTACATCAGCTATAGCTGTTCATAAATATATAAATACAATGTCAACTAATCGAATTCATAAGTGATATTTACACTGGTCTTTCAAAAACCACAATGCAAAATGTCAAATTGTTGTTCAATTAATAGTTGAAATTGATTAAAGTTATCTATATTTCCAGTCAATTTCTTTCGAAATAGTCAATTATTAATAGAATCGTACATGAAAAAGAAAGCACAAGTTTTATACTTGATTTAAACGATTTATTTCAATTATATTTTATTAACACAATCAAGGTCACGAACAATTGATAATTATGATTCACACCCTATATGAAGTAATCATGGCACTCGAATCAAATTGATAATTATACATATGAAAAAGCGCCTTTGAACCATATCATTTCGTAAGTGGCACAAATAATACAAATCAAATCAATTAACGAGCTTCAAGTTGAATAAGAATTCCGTCTTTTGGATGTGATAAAAGTGTTTGTGCGTCGATTACAATTGGCTTATGGTTCGGTGACAATTTGATGTGGAAATTTTGAATAATATGAACTAATGCGACCTTTGCTTGTGTGATTCCAAATCGTTGGCCTAGACAAATTCGAGGTCCTTCGCCAAAACCTAAATATGTTCCCTTATGACGATTACGTTGCTCTTCTTCATTAAATCTTTCCGGTTCAAATTTATCTGGGTCTGGGTAATATTTTGAATCTCTGTTTGTACGTGTAAGAAACGTGCATTAAAATGTTAATCGAAATCTTTCACAATTTTAATTAGATTACCTATGAATTCCCAACAAAGGAATGTTTACCACGGTGCCTGGATAAATAGTGGTCGGTTCCGATTGTTCACTGGTTTTTGGTAATGTGTACTTTTCTGTACATACTTTTGTCAACACAATCAGAGCTGGATGTTTTCGTAATGCTTCCAATAATATGCCTTCAATATAAATCATGCTCTGCAGAGCTTCGGCCGTTAATGTGCCATCATGTTTTTCGAGTGTTTGTTTTATTTCATTCAGAGCTTTATCTTGGCAATGTGGATTCAACGCCAATTCATAAAATGCATATGATAATGCAGTGCTTGATGTCTCCGTACCATCAATGAACAAAGATAGAGTATGGCCAGCTAAACTCGTGTCATCAAAATCTGTACGAAAAAAAGGAGTAGATTCAGATGTAGATTCAACCATATTGACAATGATTTAGTTGTTTTTACTGTGTTTTTGTTGTAGTTGAAGAAATATTTGTAGAATGTCATAGCTTTGAAGGTCTTTTGATCGAGAGGCTTTGTTTGTACCGACTAACGTTCGAAACAAATGATCGATTGACGATGGAAGAAATCTATCGCAAATCTAAATTGATAAGATTTGCTTGCTTTCTTTAAATCTCAAACTAATACTCACGGTATTGGAATAAGATCCAAAGCCCATTGCGGTAAAATAGGGTGGACCAAAAATTTCATTCCGACCCAAAACGATGGTTCAAAGAGAGTTTTTCCTATTTTTAAGAATTCGGATTCCACATTCTTATCGAAGCATCCTGGATTTATGCTAAAAGTGCATTTTATAACATTTTCTGTTGTAAATCGAACTGCAATCTAAACACCAAGTGGATAATTCACAATTTAAATCACAAATTTCGAATATACAGTTTTCCACGATTGAATTTACATGTTTTGCGTTGAAATCTGTATTGGCCGGATATGACTTGAGAAATTTAATAAAATCGGTTCCAACACCTTTCATCACTGGCATCATACTTTTAATCTGAAATCAACATCGACAATATTTCCATATATTTTTTTCTTAAACACATTATTGTGCGTATTTTTGTTACTTTGCTTTGAGAGAATGCGGGCAAGATCATTTTTCGACCCTCTCGCCATTCTTCATCACGCGTCAAAAATGGATTGGTTGCAAAAAGTGGATCAAATTTCTTGCTCAACGCAAAATCATTGTCACGAAATGAATTGAAATTCGTAATCATCACATCTTTTACCAAATCGGGATCACGAATTAAAACAGCTGGTTTAAACATTTTATAATACCCGATGTATGGTTCATTTGAAAATTGTCTTTGAAAAATTAAAAAAAAAATGTTATTTACTTCTTTGTTCACGAACAGTTCTGTATCTCTGATTTTGAATCAAAACTTACTTATACCAATTGGCTGTTGTGACGCCCCAATGCTCTGTGAATGTAAAAGTTGAGCCAATATTTCCGACAAAAAGTTTTGGCTCCGGTCCTGGAACCTTATTTCTTTTCCAATATGAATAATTCCATTTTAACCAAGTGTAAAATACAGTGATAACACCCAAAATAACCGCTATCAAGAACATTTTTAGCAGAAAATACACTCCGCCACAATTGTTTTAATTGGTGATGTTGACTATACAACGTTCTCGTTTAAACTGATGAAACTGATGTGTGTTTTCGACAGGAATAAGTTGCCCAATCATCATTACTATTTATACAAATTGCGAACTTCGATTTTTGAGCATGAGATAACATACAGTTCCTCGTGAGTCAAAATAAAATCACATACATTTCTGAATACTATTATATATTTTTACGTACATAAACACAAAATCACACTTAAATAATATCTACCACACACAAAAACCTATACATATTTATCATGTATAATACATGTACCTTTAACAGGTTTTGTACATCTCAACATCTGATCAATTGAATAAATTAAAAGTGAAATAAAAATAAAAAAACGTGTTGTGTTTTTTTTTTATTGAAATTTTTTGTTGTTGACAATCTCCTACCTATGGGCTGCATGTATTCAACTATTGTATTGCATGTATTGTCTCTCAACTTTGTAATTTATAAATAAAATATCTTTTCTAACGATTCAATAGAGGTATTATTTCCCGTGTTTCATATATGAACGCTCAGCCAGATATGTTTGTGTGTTTGGCTGAGCGCTCAGCTCAGCAGATATATCTATCCGTTTATGAAGCACTGATTATTTCATTATTTATTGTAAATAAATTTATAATAATTAACATTTTTCATGTTTGTAAATGAGAAAGAAAGAGAATGTATTTTTTCTATCGCAAAATCGGAGGGAGAAGTATTACTGGCTATTATCCGTTTTCAGAAAAGGTCCACCACCCTTTCTCAAGGCCTTCTTGAATGTGGCTTAGAAGTTTCTTTTGACGCTGATCACAGTATCTAGATAAAAGTAAACTTTAAATTAATATCACCATCGACGCCATTGAAAACAAAAGCAAAAATCAACTCACTCAAACTTGTCCCAAATTTTTATTTTCATATCAAGCACATTTTGTGGCGTGAAATCCATTTGTAAATAGCCGGATAAAATGTCGGCAGCACCGCCCAAATCGCGTTGGTTTTCTTCAAAAATGGCTGTTTGATTGCACTCCTTCACAAAATATGCGAATACGTACGACAGCATCAAATTCTGACGACATGACAGTAGAATGTCCAAACCTTTGTGTAAAATTTGTATCTGTAAAATAATCGTAAATTAGTCATGATTTTAATTCTATTTTGGATTCACTTTTCATTTTTACACTTACTTCAGATAGCAAAATGCCCTCTTGTATCAGATTTTTAATTGTGAGATCAATTTTTTTGGCCGCAAAATCTCTTTCAGCGTCAAGAGATTTCTTTTGTTCGAGGTAGAGTTTGTTATAGTTTTGGAATCTGCAATAAGTTAAAATCGATTTTGTTTCTTTTTCTATAAAAATTAACGCAAATGTTTGGTGTCGCTTACCTGACCATTGTATTCGTTTGAGGCTGTTTTGGACGTTGATCTTTAGGTGTGTTACACATGCCGTGGCCAAGTTTCCAGTTAGCAAAACATTTCTTGAAACAAGTCCAGCAAAATTCGGTGCGACATCGTGTACAAAACTTTAATTTAAAAAAAATTAAAATTGTAAAATGACGGGGTACGAATATTTTAATGTTTAAATTCAAAGATAAGAAAAACGAACCATGTATGAACAGCCCATATTTTTTTCGATCAAACAACCGCATTTCGGACATGCTTTGGTGTTTTTCGACATGTATTGGTATGTCGGATCTGTCATATATTGTAACCAAATCTTATATAAGTCACAAGGAATGGGCTCATGATGAGAATTCCGGCACTCGAAACAGAACCCATGTCCGCACTTACAAGTGCAGTTTAAACGATAAATCGGCGTAAAACTCGCTTCGATGGCATATTGGCAATCGGGAGCTGGACACCATTCCAAAAATGGATCGTTCTATGAAAAAATCGAAAAAATACATAATTTCGTGATTGATGAATTTGCATTAATTTTATGACGAATGTGAAAATCTAAAGTTATAAAAATTATACTCTACATACCCGGACGAAACTATTAACACATAGACGTTTGTATCTATCTTTTATTTTTTCATCGGTCAGAATCTGAGTTATTGTATCATCATCAACTGTGATACCGCATTTGAGTTGTTGGCAAGCAATCGACTCAGCACCTTCATTGATTTTCATCGTTAAATATTGTGACCAACAGTCTGAGCAGAAATTATGTTTGCAACTCAAACTGACAATCATCTGCAAAAAAAAAAAAAAAAAAAACATTTTTATTATTCGTTGAGTATACATTCTGGAACAAGAGATTCTAAATAAAAGTGTTATCGTTTATGCATTCCAAAAAAAAAAAAACAAAAACAAAAAAAACGAGAACAAAGAAAGTGATTGTGACACTTACATCTGACGGTAATTGTTCGAAACATGTTAAACAGTCAGTTTTTCGTCGTTTTTCATCTTCTTCTACCTCAAGAAATGGATTCTTGATGTTCGCATTATCAAAAAACTTTTGCTGATCATCTGTGTATTTTTCGAGCAAAACCATTTTATTCCAATCGCAGTAGCCCAATGCAATTCGTGCAACTGTTGCTGGCATCTAATGACATGTTATTGTTTCCATATAAATTATTTTAATTTTATTAATAATATTTTATGTTTTGCAGAAATTAATAAAAAAAAAAATTATTTTCAATTACCCCAGTTGTGGAAACAACTTCTTCGATTTTTTGATTCATTTTGTGAGTGATTTCTTCAATATTCAATGCCTCATAAGTAGCATCTTTAAGTGGCATTTCTTCAGAATCCGAATCCGAAAATTCTAATGATTCATCAAATGTGTCGTCCATTATGTAGATTTGTCACTGCACGATGTACACAAACTGAATCTACGTATTTCACCAAATGTATTTTAAGCGACTTAACTGCGTACACCAAAAACAACAACAATAATAATAATAATTTGTAATGTTCGCTTCGACTGTGTTCAAGTGTTTATATGTTGATAAACTAAAATACAATGTGACAGAAGTCTCTGTGCGCACTATAATCAGGAGACTATTGGTATGCTGACATTTTATTTACTTTTGAATATTCATCGGGCAACACGAATCTATGCTTCATAATATACGATGTTTTCTTTTTTTTTTTTTGTTTTATGTTCTTATCTTTGTCTTTTATGTGAACATGCCTTTTTATTAGAAATAACATTCGGTAGATACACTCTGAAAACATAAATCAAAATAATAGGAGAAATTATGAAAAAGTTGTGACTTTTGATAGGGATTTGATCCCCTTAAAAAATAAATTTGCTGCAAACTTATTATTTGACAATAACAAAATAACAGTGTCAATTTTGTCAAACACCGGATTCGTGATTTTATGGTTTATTTGACATATTATGTCTGTATAATAGTATAGGCTAATGTCAACAAGCTGTCAGTCTCGTCTTGTATTTCTTTCTAGTCGTTTGTTGTCATACTTGTAAACATATCCAAAAACCACAGGAATTCCCAAGTCACGTATTCTGACAAAGAAAAAACAAACCCTATTTTCCAAAACCGTGAAATAAGAGAGTAACGTCTAATTTTTTCTGCTAGAATGTCGTTCACAAAATATCCGAAAAACTATCATCAAAATGGACTAGGTAAGGATAAAATTAGAAAAAAATATATTGTTTTTTTTTTTTTTTTAATTCATGATGAGTCATCAATTAATCTTAATTATACGTGAACCTGTTTTAGGATGGCAAAATACATCGGCATTAAGTTATCCATCTCAACAACCAGATAACAGGGCTGTTCCACCAAGCACCACCAATTTATATCCAGGATTTCAAGCATTTTCAAATCCATTTCAAATGCCTCCATTACCAGGCTCCACCAATCATTATGACAGCGCTCGCTTATCGTATGGATTCGCTCCGAATATAACAGCATGCCATATACCAAATGAACAAAAACCGCAAGCAATCACTCAACCAAGCGGTCCATCGATTGGTTGGGCCTTACAAAATGATTTGACTGATGGTTGTACACATTCTACACCTGCTAACGATAGTCCAGTCGAAAAACAAGTGGAAATCCCTTGTCAAGCCATTATTGTACCAGATGAAGATATGCCGATTTATTCGTTTGGTTATCCATCGGTAAGTTATAGTCTTTTGAATCTGATTCATTTTTTTCCGTGTAAAAAAACATGATCAGCCTCACAATACACAAATGTCACATGCGTATGTGTATGCATGTATTGGGCGCGTTCATACGTTCAGATGTCATATATGCAAATACATATGTAGGTTGAAGCGTTCATGTGACATTCGCTTATAGTCAGTATTTGTACGGCTGGTTTTTCCGCTGTTGCTAAAGCCATTTGCAAAAAAGGAGCAAAAATGATTCATTAACTGGATTTGAAGCGCCAACTCATGTTTTTTCATTTGAAATCGTTGTTTATTATTACGTCTTCGAAAAAAAAAACTCAATTTTTTTTCAAATTTACGTTTAGTCTGATGCCGTTGATGTTGACATAGGTCATTATCATTTTTTTACGGCAAATTCTGTAGATATGTTTGGAATTTTGTGTGGGCGGACCGAATTTTGAGCACAAAATAAATAAGAACAATAACATTTTTTTACGTTGTAAGACCAAATCATTTCATCCAGATAAAACTCATTTCAATCAAAATGCAAGATTTATGAATTGGTTTCAATTGAACCTGATCTGAAGGTGATTAAGTATTGCGACTAATTCATCAATTTTGGGAATTTTGAAAATGACGAACGTGTCATGCATCAAGTTCAATGAACTAAAACACAATATGAGCAACTGCGGTCAACCATTGTCGCATCAACCCAAATTAAATATTATATCGCTGAAGTGGCGCATGCTTTATGACAATGTTGCAATAATTTTGCATTCTCATGCGATCACTAAAGAAGATAATAATCAATTAAACCAAATTAATATTTAATTAACAACCTTGAATAATCAATTTAAATTTACAACTGAATTAATAGTTGAGTGAGAGAGGAAGAGGTCCACGTAGTGAGCAAGACTATACTACTTTGCGGGATTATTGTTTGGAGAATGGAACACTGTTTGAAGACTCCGAATTTCCGCCGATTGATTCATCTCTGCAATTTTCGCGACGAATGGATCGTCGAGTTGAATGGCTACGCCCCAGTGAAATAGCTCACGATCCTCAGTTTTTCGTTGAAGGATTTTCGCGATTCGATGTGCAACAAGGTGAATTGGGTGATTGTTGGCTACTAGCGGCCACAGCAAATTTGACTCAAAACCCAAAAATGTTTTTCCGAGTTGTTCCCGATGATCAGGACTTTGAAGATAATTATGCTGGAATATTTCACTTCAGGTATACACAATTTTGAATGCAAATACCAAGTAAAAAGGTCACATTGCAACCTAAACATTTTAGATTTTGGCAATATGGTAAATGGGTCGATGTGGTCATTGATGACCTACTACCGACATATCGTGGAGAACTGCTATATATGCGATCAACCGAGCAGAATGAATTTTGGAGCGCATTGCTAGAAAAAGCCTACGCAAAATTACACGGGTCATACGAGGCTTTGAAGGGTGGTACAACATGCGAGGCTATGGAAGATTTCACTGGTGGCGTAACTGAAATGTATGACTTAAGTGAAGCGCCACCGAATTTATTTAATATTTTGTTGAAAGGCTACGAACGAAACTCAATGATGGCTTGCTCAATTGAACCTGACCCTTCCGTTTTTGAAGCAGAAACACGCGAAGGCTTGATAAAAGGTCACGCATATTCAATTACTAAAATTGAACTCATGGATATTTCAACGCCAAATAAATCGGGAAAAATACCAATGGTAAGAATGAAATACATTGATTTTTTTGCGGAATTCAATTTTGTATCAACACTATGTTTACTCATCAAAGTTGCGCATACGAAATCCTTGGGGAAACGACGCAGAATGGAACGGACCTTGGAGCGATTCATCACCTGGTATGTTGATAGTATTTTGAAATGATAATCACACCTTTTATAATGTGTCAATGTGTTTACACAGAGTGGCGATATATTCCGGACCATGAAAAAGAGAGAATCGGATTGACTTTTGATCATGATGGCGAGTTTTGGATGAGTTTCCAAGATTGGATGAAATATTTTGATCGGGTTGAAATTTGCAATCTTAGCCCTGACTCGCTGACCGAGGAGCAGATAAGTGGTGGAAAAAAACGATGGGAAATGTCCGTATTTGAAGGTGCATGGGTGCAGGGTGCCACAGCCGGTGGCTGCCGTAATTATTTGGAGACATTTTGGCAAAATCCACAGTATACTGTTGCACTTGAAACACCAGATGAAAACGACGACGACGGACTGTGCACATTGATTGTTGCATTAATGCAGAAAAATCGACGTTCGAGACGAAATGTGGGCATGGACTGTTTAACCATTGGATTTGCCATTTATCGAGTTACCGAACGTGACATGATGAGTAAACCAATTAGAATGAATTTCTTCAAGTACAATGCATCCGTTGCTCGCAGTCCAGCCTTTATAAATTTACGTGAGGTCAGTTGCCGCTTCAAATTACCCCGAGGAAACTATCTAATCGTCCCATCTACGTTTGAGCCAAACGAAGAAGGGGAATTTTTAATAAGAGTTTTTTCTGAACAGTGTTGCAATATGGAATGTTCTAATGCCTATTAAGTTATAAGAAATCTACTGTAGCTGTGTCAAATATGCTATAACTTATATCGGCTTGTTTGAATTGATATAATCAGAAATGTGTCTTAATGTTGATAGAAATCATATCGAATCACTTATTATATGAACAAATGTGTTGCACAAATTGCCATGCTTTTTTTTACGAATATAAGGTATCACTTAGCATTTTTATTACAATATTCCATGACTAAATGTAGATCTGACATTAAAAATGTGGAATATATATAAACAGACAATATATTTAGCTGCCGTCATCTGGATATTTCAGCTCATCTGGATGCCGTCAGCAGTGAAAACAATAGAAGTGATTGTTATAGTAATACCAGTATATAACAAGCTTATATACCTATAACAATCACTTCTATTG